TAAAAATTATAAAGAATATAGAGTTTATGATGTTTTTAAAGTTTATAATGATTATAAGAATTATGAAAATTATGGAATTTATGGAAATTATAGAAATTATGGAAATTATAGGAATTTCCAATCGTAACAACGAGTTCCCTTTGAACATCTCCTAGTAGAGGGTGATGAGATGTCTCTCATTCACATCCCATTCATGAAGTTATTTTATATCTTAGATCAGAATATTTGCATGTGTTGGTAATAGATCTGTCATCTTCTCATTGTTTCCTTGATCCTTTTACAGGTATTCTCTGCTGAAGTAGAGAATAATGAAATGTCTTTACATCCACATTTCATTCATGAAATCATCCAGTTCATTTATTTTAAGACCAAAAAATGTGGTAATTAGCAATTCATTATTATTTTTTATTAAGTGCAAAATATTTTCCTTGAATGTGATAACCAGAGATTCATTCTTACTTTTACTCACATTAACTGGTGATTCATTCTCACTTTACCAGTAATTCTCATTTTCTCATTTTTACCCTACTTATCCACATAATATGCAAATCTTGCTTCTTGATAATATTTTTATTATTTTGTGATAATTGAAAAATGTGATAAATATTATGGTTGGCTTGTTTTTAAATACATAATGATTAGACACTGGTTTATGTTGACAAAAATAACTAAAATTCATTCTAGCTAATGCATCAAACACATCTATTACTATGAGTAATACTATTTGATGCGCGTTCAAGGAATCTCGTGATCTAAATCACTGATTCGATTTTCACATTTACAGTGACGATCAAAAGTAATGCAACAAATAATTAAAATTTCTCAAATCACAATATTTTCACATAGACTTAAAAACATCAAATCACAATTGATAAATTCAATTAATTTTTTGGTGATCTATCATTTCTTGTCCAATGCTGCCATTGCTTAACGTTAAGGGTAGAGTTTTGGATCATAAAAATTCAATGGCTAAACATTATCGATCAAAATATGTCACATGCATATCGTATAATACGCGCCATCATATGAACTCAAAATTTAAATTAGACTCGGAAACTTTCACCTTAGTTGCAATATGCATGATTTTTTGTCTTTAATTTGAAATTGCTAAATCAGAGTAATAATAAAAAAAGTATCTATTAAATGCAAATTTTATCAATTTACTGATACTAGTTGTATTTAAAACCAATGTCAGCCAATAAATTTGCTAATAATTAACAGCAATCTCGAGTTTTTCTTTTATTAGTAGCAACGTTCTTCCCTTTTGTGGACTTTATCGTTGATGATGGTGTTGATTGATCCTGTTCATGATTCTATATCGGTAATCAACATATAAACTTTTCATCACTTGATGTAAAATAGGACATTTCAACATTCTTGTCCAATGTAGAATTGTTCATTTTGATATCATCATCGTAATAATTAGAACTGTTGAAACGTTAGTTTTTAATGGGTGATTCACGAAGACCTTTCTCGATTTCTTTTTTCTTTGCACATTGTCTACTTCGAGATAATCAGCCAATCTATATGAAAATAAGTTAGAATCAAAATTAAAGACTAGATTCGTTAAGACATATGTACTTATTTTTCAGTTTTAATAAAACAAAGATGCTGACTATTCAAATCGTTGCAAGTTATATTTTTTTCTGACTCTCCATTTTCCTTCTTGCCTCCCTCGACTTATTTTCGAATCCACCTTTATCACCTAAAATTAACAACAAAAAGTTCATCGCCATTTTGAAAGAGCGGTATTTCATTGTATAGCGTTCTCTCACTATTAGTTACGATATGCTGTGTGCTAGGTGGAATGTAGAAACGCGATATGATAATGCTTTTTAAGTCTTGGCGGAGAAAGACCGCTGACGGTTGTTGGTTGCCTCCATATTTTTTTGGTGTCATTTTTGATTGGTCACCAAAGACTTGTAGCATTACGGATATGGTAAATTCATTGCTAGAGAGCACTGCTTATCACCGGTATACATTTTTCCTCGCGTGGATTCAATTACAATATTATTCGTATTTCAGATAGATGACATGGATATCGATTGTAATCGACGGAGTCCAAAATTGTTTGTATGCATGAGATAAATGTGGACAATTTCATGTTCTCTCCATTCTGCCCAATGACTCGCTATATTAATAAGAAATTGAAATGGGAAAATCACCGCCACGTAAAAAAAGGAATCGAAATGGGGGAATCATCACCATACAAAAAGGTGAAAAAAAAGTAGGTACAGTAAAGGAATGACAACAAATAGCTATTTCTTTTTCTATGAATCTGTAGCAAATTAACTACCAGTAAAAGCGCTGTTACTTTGATACTAAGGTCTTTCGATTCAAGTCCATTAAGGTATTGAACGTGTTTTAACCTATTGTATTTGAAAAAAAAAGAATAAAATCGAGCTACATTTTTAATTAAAATTTCAGATTATCTTAGTGTTAGATAGATGAATGACCCCAACCCGGATCTTCCCACCAACCCAACCTAACCCGAATCCTCCAGCCAACCCAACCTAAACTTGGATCTTTCTGAGGAGAATTCTATGTATATTCTTTTTAATTTATTATTCTAGATTTATGATGGAACGTTAAATCGTGCTAAGGCGCTAATGCTACAATACATGTAAATCAAATCATCGAGCCAAGATTAGGTGGCAATGGAAGATGAACGTGAACGGAAGAACTAGTAGTAATAGTATAGTATCCTGTAGTTGTAGTAATAGTATCCTGTGGTGACAGGATATATGATAAACAGGATCTATAATAAACTGATCCATGATTATATTGGGAGACCGAAAAGTCCCCATTATTATGTGGGAGACCTTTCGGTCCCACTATTATGTATCCTGTTGTCCGACGACCATTAATATATCGACTAGTATTCTAGTCGTGTTTTTATTTTTTTCTCGCTCTAAAAGGGCGTGGGTTATCAATAAAGTGAGATCGACGAACTGGTCGCCGAGTAAAAAAAAAGAATTTCTCGTTGTATATAATATATTTTTTCATAGTACAAGAGTTTGGACAGTCGAAAAAGTGCTTGGACATCCAAAATGTACTTTATTTATTCTTAAAAGAACATTAAATATACAGCATACTTTCTGATTTAGTCAAAAAACATTTTCTATTTAATAATAACGCTGTTCACTAAAACATTAATATAATATAAATTAATTTACTTTGATAAGTTATATTATTTAATTGAAAATTTGTATGATCTTTAATATCGCAAAAGATTTTCAATATCCAATAAAACTACGTGATAAACTGTTAGTATTCACCGCCACCTCTTTCACCACCACCACTTCGTCCAATATTGCCAACTTGTTGCCGTCTTTGTGCATCCAATTTCGGACAGTCACTGATACGATGTCCAAGACCTCCACAAAATGTGCATCCTATGAAAAATAAGTTTCGAGTATCGAGTATTGATGAATTACAAAACAGTGAATACTCATAATTATACATACCACCAGAAAGATTATATTTATCTGTTGGATCTTCCATTGCTTCAAGAACAGGAGGTACACGTTGTTTTGCTTCACGAAGGAGATGCTTGAGATCTAATAGAATCTGTTCCGAACAATTCATGTTTATAAAAGTGGTGGCCACTCCTGTTTTTCCGGAACGTCCTGTACGACCAATTCTGTGTACTTTATTTATGTTGACAAATAAATATATTTTTTTTAGCAAAAGTTAATAAAAAAATTAAATTACATAGATAATTCATAAGTAAATACCGTAATTTTCTATTTCTTTTGGCATATCGTAATTAATGACGTGTTTGATGTCTGGAAAGTCAAGACCCTTGGAAGCAACATCTGAAGCTACCAACACGTCCTTTTTGTATTCCTTAAATGATCGGATTGCGAATTCACGCTCGTCTTGAGCTATTTAATAATAAAAAAATATTAATAATAATAATTACACATTTAATTAAGCAATCAAATGTATACAAACTTTTTCCTCCATGTATAGCAACAGCCTCAACACCTTTCAAAAGGAGATACTCGTGAATATCGTCCACATCATTCTTATTCTCAGCAAAAATCAATACCTATATCAAGAATTTCTTTATTAATATCCAGAGAAAATAACAGTCAAGTTGGAATTGTAAACTAACCGGAGGCGGAGTTTTTTGCAAGCATTCTAAAAGATATACAATTTTGGCTTCTTGTTTGACATATTCTACTTCTTGTAAAACGTCCAAATTGGCTGCGCCGGCACGGCCAACATTAACAATTACTGGTTGTACTAATGCTGATCTCGCGAAATCTTGAATTTTCTTTGGCATGGTAGCCGAGTATAATAAAGTTTGTCTTTGGCTCTATTCACGATAATAATAATAATTATTATTATTTATAAAATACAATGCATGCAAAAATATATAATGAAATATATAGCATACAACCAAAGCAACTAAAAACACTCACTGTAAAATAAGACATTATATTCCTAACATCATCCTCAAAACCCATATCAATCATACGATCCGCCTCATCCAAACACAAGAACCTTAAAACGACATTCGAAGACATTAAAATCAATAATGTCTAGAAAGGAAATGATAAAAAAATCAAGTTACTCACTTGCATAATTCCAAATTGAATTTTTTTTTGGACAGCATATCTTGTAATCGTCCCGGAGTAGCAACCACTATATGAAGTCCATTGCTAAAAACTCGTGACTGATCACTCATTGAAATACCACCAATGCATAATAGTGGATTTACTTTGGGAAATCCCCCGCGTGTTGTAAAATCAATCATTTTGCATATACTTTCGAATGTTTGTCTTGCAAGTTCACGCTTTTTTTTTATTTATAGGATAGATTCATATGAATTAATTCATATAGATGAATAAATAAAACAGAAAAAAATTTAGTGCTCTTACCGATGGACACACTATCATACCAATCGGTCCCTCGCCTCTAACCAATGGCAATTTCATTTCCGCTTCTAAAGCCAACATCACCAGCGGTAACGAAAAAGCCAAAGTCTTGCCTGACCCTGTAAAGGCAATACCGATCATATCGCGTCCAGATAATCTACACGTTAAAAGTAAGGAAAAAATGTTGATTATTAAATCAACTCTTACCAACTAATTAAGCATCTCCTTGAGAAGGCATCAATCAAAGCATAGAGATATAGAGAGCCCAATTTGCTTACGCGACGGGAAGGCCTTGTACTTGAATCGGTGTTGGTCGTCTGATACCACACGATTTTAGGTAATCCAATATTGGTGGAGGAAATTTCATATCCTATTATTTGTGAAATTTGATATATCAGAATTCAGTATTCATAATTTTTGAAGTATATAAATGAGATTATCAGAATTGGAATAATGCATACACGAAAATGTTTTATTGGTGCCGGTATATCCTCGCCCTCTACTAAAATAGTGTATTTTTTTCTGATCTCGTCATACTCTTGTTGGGTTCTTTCACGAATGTGACGTGGTGGTTGCCATCTAGATAACAATTAAACCAAATCAAAAATAACTGTTAGAATTCAAAATTTTTTAAGCATATTCAGAAGTTATTTCCTTACGTTGTTTTTATTGGATCATGATATATAATGTTCTTTGCTAATTCTCTATCAGAAGCTAGCAATTTTCGTTGCGCTACCGCTTCCATAATAGCTTTTTCTTCTTCGAGTTTTTTCTCTGCATCGGTTTTCATAGAATCTTTGTCCAACAAAAAACAATTTGCCAATTAATGCTTTAAGCTTGAAAAACTTAGCTTATAAAACCAACAACAGGTACGTCCACCTTGATCTCCCAACAAAGCGCTTACCTTCCAATGCTTTTTGTTTTTTAACCTCAACCGCTTGATCAATTAAACTAATATTGGCTTTTGGTCCCGCTACTAAAGAATCTTCGTCTTTCTCGTTTTCTTCTCTTTCAACTTGTGGTTCTGGTAAATGTCGCATTCTTTGCAACTTCCTGACTTTTGCCTCACGGCGTTGTTTAATAGGGACATAGGGAACGAACTCGTCTTTATCTTTTTCAAGATCGTCAGAAGTTCGCTTTGTTTGATTTGAATTTGTTTGACTCATGTTTGTATATGCGATTGCATTAGGCACTTGCTGAAACAATTTAATCGATTTCAACGTATGTCATGCAAAAATGGCATATTTGGAATCTGTGAACACCGCTTTTTTAAAGTTAAGATCAGGGTTATATATGGCAAATGAAGAGTTTTTATAGCAAAATTTTGCAAGGAACATTTTTTGTTAGAACACAAAAGGTCATTCATAGACCAAATTTTGGTACAAGCTATTTTTCAAAAATAAGCGTTTGATTGGCATGTATATACTCTAGTATTTATTTATAAAATTTAACCAATAATTTTAATAAATATATTTCAAAAAAAGTTGAGTTTCACTTGAGGACTTAAAAGATTAATATTTTCATGATGATGTTTATGTGGTCGAGGACTCTCTTTTTTTCTGTCTTGAGGATTTTCGTTTTCATTTAATGCCCTGGTATACCGATAATGCAATGGCTCGTCAAAAGACAACTTTGTAAAAGATCCAGCACTTACAGCAACGTCTTTGATACGTCCATCGAGATAAGGTGTGATGACTTTTTGTTCTTTGATGTAATCTTGAACGACCTTATCTACTACTTCGAAAGTCAGTGATCCTTCGATTGGAGAAGGCAATATTCTTTGGGGATTTATAGAAGAATTTAATAATCAGGATTAATTACTATAAAACAATATAAAATATAGAATTACCCATCGCCAGTATTAGTCACAAAATCAATCGTAGAAAGTGTATAGATCTGCTTAGGATCAACCAACGTGTATTCTTTGGTTATTGGATCCCGAATCTTGACCTCAACAACTCTCTTAAAAACCTCTTTCGATGAATTATAAGTGAACTGAATTCCAGATAACTGAATGAAGCTAGTAACTGGTTTTCCAGAAATAATGTTTGTCTTTTTCCCAACAACACTCTCCAAAATATCGGTAATATTCTTTCCCGTCACGTCGATATCAACCAACTGACTGCCGAATGGAAGTACCGTTAAGATATTCTCAATGGTGATGTTACCCTTTAATAACCCAGTTCTTATTCCTCCAGCATTAATAAAAGCTGCACTAACTTTATTATTACTTTTGTTTCTGTAATTTAGCATCGCATCAGTGACCAAATTTCCCATTTGACATTCGATAGTTTGACAATTCGATTGATCAAATTCTTCTTTTGCTTCACCGATTACAGTCTTTACGAACGTATCGAATGGTTGACGCCAGCTGGAGACGAGACTTTGGATTTTAGGGTCTTGAGGAATCGATTGATTAACGAGAATCGGTTCACCTTGGTATTTCAAGATCTTTCCCTCTGCGTCAATAAGAATATCCAAATGGCCAATGTATTTTCCACTCCAATAAGCCTTTAAATAATTATTAATATTAATTAAAGAAGTTAAGAATGCAAAATAATTGGCAAAAAATATTTATACCTGTACGATCAAAGTATCTTCTCCTTTAGCATTCTTTACTGTAGTTGGGTAAGGACCCTTCGAAATACCTGCATCACTAGTTTTATTGGACAAAAGTGTATGACTATGGCCACCAATATGTAACGAAACTCCATAAGTTTGTGCAGCGAGTATTTTATCTTCGTTATATCCATTATGCGAAAGCGTAAATATACGCTTGATGCCTTTTGCATGAAGCTCATCAACATATTTTTGCACTATTGGGATGGGATTAATGAATGAAAGCGTTGGTCCGGCATTTGAAATTCCACCTGCAGTCTAAATATAATTAAATAAATTAATAGATAATATTGAGTAAATCCATTGATAAATAATATCAAACTATTCGTCACCTCTGTAATGTAACCAATGACGGCGAGATTATATTCTTCGAAAATATGATAAGGCTTTATGTATTGTCCGAGATTTGGATTTTTAGTCGTATCAATATTCGCGCAAACAATTGGTTTTTTGAGACGTTTGTAATGCTCAATCAATAGCTCTGGTCCATTGTCGAATTCATGATTACCGATAGTCTAAAAAGCAAATTTTTTTAATTTAACAAATAAATATCCTAAAATTCAGAATAAAGAAGAACATAGTTTTTGTTTTACTACTCGCCGACAAATCATAACCGAGAAGATCCTTTGAAAGAATATAAATTTGTTGAATAAACATATAATTTTATGTGATAATGCTAATATAGAGACCCATTAATTACCATCACTTCGGCAGTCTTATTTCCCTGTATAAAATGTAATATAACAATCAATGGATTATAATAAATGATCGGAGATTCAGTTTCCTATTACCTTATAAAACGTATAAAAAAGGCTTCCTATAATATAATGCAAAATCAAATTCGGTTATCGGAACATCTCTGAATAGTAAAAATTTAAATTTAGCAGTATTCATTACCTTGAAATTCATCTCCACCGTCCAACAATAACGAATTCTTGCTCTGGCTTCTCAACCTATCAATCAAAATCTTATGCCTTGCAGTACCACCATAGCACTTTTTAGCTTCATATTGTGCCGGAGTACAGTCTGTCGCCATACTATTAATTTGGTCGAATCGTGAGTGAACATCATTTGTATGAATTATCGAAAGATGCAATTCGTCTTGATTTTCTAAGTTTTTTGCAGGAAAAGACGCGAAAAATAGTAGCGTCAAGCCGACAAACAGTAAAACCACGAGAAAACGAGCGTAAACTGGTATATCGCTAAAAAGCATCTTTGGTAATGTTAAAGCGTTAAATGTATTACACAGTCACGTTCTTAATAGTTGACCTCCTCTATGGGTCCGTGCTCGACCCCGGATGCATAGCATAAATAATATCGTCGATAGTATACATATAAATCATACGCGATCATGATAGGAAAAGAAGAAAATGGTATAGTGTAGGACATTTAAAGACGCCAATAAAATTTAGTTATCTTTAAAAGGCATACAAAAAAAGGAGGTCTAGCGACCCTCTTTTTAAAAACCAATCACTCATTTTTGACTAGTATTCATTTATTTTTATATGATCGATGGCCAGTGGGACAAATAACGTGATATGTGATCGCCAAATCAAATTTGATTGGTCAATCATGAGTCATGTTTTGTTATTTTATTGGTTATTGCAATAAACCACTTAGCAAATGATACGTACATTATGATAATCACGTGATTTTTTGCAAGTGATCAAAAATTGATTTTTGATTTATTTAAATTCTATTTATCTTTTAAAATCAAAATTGAAACAAGTTACGTGATTGATATCTTTAAGTATTTTATATTATAAATAAAATGTGCTAATTACTTTGATTATTATTCTCATTAATTTAAAAATTGTTAAAATTAATAAACTAACAAAATAAAATAATAATAAAAGAACAAAGACTGAATAAATTATAATTAATAGAATTCACTAAAAATTCTAAAGATCTCCTATAATAGCTTGTATGCAAACTAACTAATTATTAATAATAAAAGATAAAAATATAAAGTGAAAATTAAAGAAATTATCAAATAACTAAAAGTGAATAACAAGACTTACTGATGATATCTAATAAAATGAAATAAAATAATAATTGGACTTATTAAGACTGTCAATTACAAAATATAAACTAAAAGAATCAAAAATAATCAAATAGTACTTATTAATACAGTCTAAAAATAATAAAACTAATTTAAATAAAAGTAATAATGTCAATGACTTATTTAGAGTGGAAAAGTATCCACTACTTATAATTTCAAGTTTTGAAGATAATTCACAAAAATAATAGTATATTTACAAGTAAAATATTACTAGTAAGAACTTTGTTATTTTATTAAATCAAAGAATTAAAGCATGAAAATTTCTAGTGATAAGAGACTTTTTTTATATATTTTCAATTTTTTATACAATTTACATAATTAATAATTATTTTAATAATACTAACAATACAAAAGAAATATAAACATTAAAAAGTTACACAAATTCATTAACAAAAAAATACAGAAAAAAATTAGTTGCAATTTTAGTAATTAAAGATAAGAAAAAACAAGAGTTTGAGTAAAAAGAAGTATTATAAAAAATAATAGCACAAACATGATTATAAATATTATAATAAAAAAATTAAGAGATAAAAAGAATAATTATAACAAGAGCGAAAATAAAATAAAATAAATATAAGAATAATTGGTTAAAAATAATGAAATAAAAGATAAAAATAGATGTAATAGAGATATAAATGAGATAAACCAATAACAAAAATATAAGTTTTATAGTGAAAAATACAAAAATAAATGAATTTAGTAAAATAATAAAAGAAAATAAAACAAAAAATATATAAAAAGATAATTATTATGATTTAGATATTATAAAAAATTTTTGCAATTAGAATAACTTTATTAATAAAAAATCTAAAAAATCCAAAAAAAATTATATTGTTATAATTTGATATTTCTCATATTTAAAATTTATATAATTTCATATTTTATTATAATTACATTTGAATTAGTCTTATTGAATAATTATACTTATAATTAATATTTGAAATTTTATTCAAATTTCAATTCAAATTTCAGTTTAAATTTCAGTTCAAATTTCAATTTGAATTTCTATTCAAATTTCAGTTTAAAATTTAATTTAATTTCTAATTTTATTAAACAAATAATTTTTATAATTTATCTATAATATAATATGTATCTTAATTTAAAAATAGAAGTTGAATAAATTATATCTTTTTAATAATCCTTTAGATAGTTTTCTTATATAATCTCACATTTATATTAGCAAAATTATTATTATTATTTAATTTATAATCTTTCATTATTACTGTGAAGTTATATCTCTTATAATATTTGTAATTGATTTCTCATCTACATTAACAAAATTAATAATGTATAATTGAATTAATAAAAAGAAATTATATTTGACTTATTTATAAACTAACTTTTAAATGAATAAAATTATTTCTGATTTTATTCTAGTTAATCAACAAAACAAACATATATTACCTATCTTTAGATACTTGTATTCTCTTTTCTATTTGAAATTATAACTTATAAACTCTCCCATTTGATATAGTAACACATGTTCTTTCTGTGACAAGACTTAAAATTACATAATATGTTAAAATATAACTTATAATCTTGGTTTTAATATAAAAATAAAAAATATTTATTGTAATAACTGATGCTAAAATTTGACTAATGCTGAAATTATTGATTGATCAATTTTTATTTTCTAATTTCATTGATCAATTTTAGCATCAGCTGCAATATTTATTAATAAAATTAAAAAATCAAAAACTTTAATTTTTATTATGTTTTATTAATAAAATTACATGTAATTCCATAATTTTGAGAGCCACTATATAAGACAAAAATTTAATTTTTACTGTGTTTTGTTAACAATTCCATAATTTTGTTAGTTACTATACATTATATAAAAATCTTAATTACACTTTTTTCAAAAATAATATATTTGAAAATATAATTACTAATAGTTATCCAATTAATTAATAGTCAAATTTCTTTATACGTATTCACGTTTGCTATAAGAACTTGATAAATAATTTATAAAATAGGGAGAATTATGCTAGAAAGTAACTTGGTATAATTTATCTATTCAGCATTAGAATTATTAGTTTTTCGAATTTAACAAATATTCCCAAAAGGAAGTGAAGATTTGGATGATGACACTTTGTAGTATGGTGTAGTTTGATCAACACCGAAAAACAGCCATCCGGCGAACTACGAAAAGAAGAGCTTCTATAAAAGTTTCAAGCGCAGCACCCGGAACTTGATTTCTCGAATGCTAAATTTCTTGATTCCCTCGTTTTGTTACAAGAATTTTGAGTTTAATTTGCAAGACATATTTGTGTGCAGTGTTCAAATATTAAAAAGGAAAATTCAATGAGGAAACCGAAAATGAAGATCATCGCCTGAAAATGAATTTAAAAAATTAATATAGATCATCGTATTTAAAAATTAGTGTAGATCATCGTCATATTGTTAGTTTCATTCGCTTCTTCCAACATGACATTAAGAAAATCTAGGCGAGTACAAGCCAAAAGCAAAGTTCGAACGCAAGAAAGGATTGGCCAAGGGTCTAATGACGGTGATTTGCTGCAAAAACCTGTGGCCAAAAAGTCAAAAACGCGTGACAGCTATGTTGATTATGCTCAGTTAAGGAAAATAAACACGAAGGAAAAACAAGTTTTGGTGGCGGAATCAGGTTCAATAGGAAATAATGGCGAAGAGGAAGTTACTTTAAACGAGGAAAATTATATAAAAGAGTTAAAGGAGAAGAAGAGTGGTGGTAGGAAGAAAAGAGGTGGGCAAGGAAGTGTGGCTGATAGTGGAACGTGTCATCAGTGTCGAACGAAAACTACGAGGGAGAAGGTGATGTGTACGAATAAGAAGGAAAACGGTGACAGATGTCAGCTGCTGTATGAGGAGAGATGTCTAAGAAGACGATATGCGGAGAGTTTTGAAGAAGCATTGGCGAATAAGGAGTGGAAATGCCCAAAATGTCGTGGAAAGTGTAACTGTTCGTTGTGTAGGAAGCGGCAAGGCCTACCAGCAATTGGGTTGCTTGACATTGGTGGCACTGTTTCTGTTGGTAGAGGTCAAGAAGAGATTAACACGTCTAGCAATTCAGGGATTGGTCAATCGAGAAATAACAATAGGACAATTATCAATCAAAGTCTCCAATTAGCACTAGATTCCCAGCAAGTTGAAACAGTGATGATGAATGAACCTATTTATAATCATCTAATGCTGACTATTGTAATTGAAGATAACAACATCGATTCAATGCTATCAAATCAAGAAAAGATTACTGACGACTTCGACTTGGACACGTCCGATTCCATCGATACCTCTGATATCACAAGTCAATTCCTCTATCCAATTGTATACGTAAACAATTATACCGATTCCTATATTGATCTGAGCGCGACTACTAATAACTATGATACTACCTTTGGTCTCTACTCGATGTCAAATGAATATATCGATTTTTATCAACCCACCAACTTGTATGGAAATAATAATAACATCTCTGGTTCGATATTTCCAATTGAAAATACCCTCGCCGACTTTTACCCAATGTCAAATCCTGAAGATAACCTTCATCAAAACACGTTAGTCACGAATACTTACAATTATTACAAGCCTATTGACAATCCAGCTGTTGCTGTTGATTATAATCCAATGAGAGTAATCGCAGGAAATCCATTCGCATATAATCCAATTGGCAATAGCGAATACTCTTACACCAACAATCTTCAGACCGATAAGCACGCTGAATACACCTTCAATGATGATAATCTTATTCCAATCGTCACTATCAATAATACCAGACTCATTTATCCGTTCTTTAAAGATAGAAACAGTGTTGTTGAAGATGCCGTCCAGATTGTTAAATTAGATGATGTATGCAGAAATCCATTACAGGAAGGAACTGGAGTCGAAGATGACGATGATATTGATTGGAGTAAATTCCCAGACGGTGTATGCGTCTACATCCCTGCTCGGTCATAATTATTCTCTTCACAATAACCAAAATCGAATAATGGACTATGATTCAGTTTTTATATATTCAAAAAAAAAGGTGTGTTTTATTATAAAGGTCATTTATTAGTTTACTATGTTTATCTACTATATGGAATTTATTATCACGAATATAAAATTCTTTATATCGAATAAAAAATGTCTCATCAGAACTGCGCAAACAAAAATTTAATCTTATAAATATTAAAGATTCCCTCAGTTTGACATAATCATATTATATTACCTTGTCATTCAAATGTTTCTTTACATTTGTTATAAGAAATAACTTTTTATTTAATATAATTTATAGAAGATAAAAACCTGATAATTTGCGGTTTTCATATACACAGGACAGAGTATTACAAAAAAAAACGAAAAGGAAATCTAACGTTGATCATTTACATTTCTCACATAAAATCATGGCAACACCGTTAACCTCGACAACAAACCCACCAACATCAGCAACTCTCACAATACGTCTAATAAAAAACTTCGAGTATCGTACCGTGAAGAATGTCGTGTTGCAAAATGTAAACTTGGAAACTACTACGGTGGGCCAATTGAAACAAATGATCCGAGATAGTATTTGTCTTTTTTTTTCTTTTGGGAAGGAGGAAGAAAAAGGCTGATGAGGTTTTTTTGACAAAAGCGTATATTTATTAATCATTAACGGCGTTTTAGAGATACTCGCGCGCTTTTCTAATTAATTCAGTGGTCCCTTGGGAAATAACTTGTAATCTATTGCAACTTTGATTCACTTATGACTCACTCTATTTCATTTTGAATTCTTCAACAAAATCAAGAGATAAATTCAACACCTGGTTTAAAACCTTTTCGATCTGTAAACTATGGTAAATAGGCGAATATCTTTTTTTATAATTTAAAAATTAATAAAATCTTTACATATATCAAAAGACACATTAAAACTATACACAAAAGCTCACGGAACAAAGGTAAAAAAAAAAAAACAAACCAAATCTCGTCTCCATCTAGAAAATTTAGTACTACTAATCTTTCCCTCTTTTTCATCAGTCACAAAATCTAACAATAAATTTGGACCATGACAATGACTGGGTTCTGAATGACGATCAAGCTACTTTGATTTCTTGTGGACTGGGTATTTAATTGTTTTTTCTGCCATCGTTAATTATTTATTATAAATGTCGAGCTTAATCGATTGTATTAATATTACAGAGAATGAGACAGAACTTTCCTTTTTTGACCTTGCTGCCTATCAAGCATACAAAACTCATCCAGATGTTATTAAGTGGGATTAAGAGTGTATGCTATTTCATAAGTATTTTTTTTGTAATAATTATTTTACTAATGGAAAAGCGTTATTGTAATTATTAAAATACAGATCAGATGTCTGAAAGATTACTTTTATAATAATATCATCTCATATTTAGCAATATTAGTAGTAATCTACAAGAACCAACATCATAATGATAAACGAATCAACTCACCAAAAAAAACCCCAAAAATAATGTTTTTCACTTTTCATTCCATTGATGATGACAGTCGGGATTACAGCATCTATAATAAATAGTCATGGGCTCATCAGCAGAACGCGTTTGTATTTGCATATAGTAGGCGCGTTTATGTTCACATTTAGGACATGTTGCTAATATGTTATTTAATAGTATATTATTAGATAGGCATTGAAATAAACAAATATAATGATCTTACCTTCGGTTGAATCAACATTCTTCCACGCATCCTCACCACCAAGTACATCATCGAGTTCTTTACGCTTGAAGCGCGTCTCTTTCTTGTACTAATTTTTTTCGAATATTAATAGTTATGTTATTAAATTTTAACTATCTCTCTTTCTTGGCTATTTATTTTCATTTTCAATATACACAATTCTTCTCATGGAAGTAGTAAAAAATTATATGTAAATTCCACACGAACACGAAAAGAGCGTAATAAAAGACCTTACTGGTTTCATAATGTTATACTGAAAAGGACAAGTCTGACAAAAGAATTGTCTTCTTGATCCTCCAGTCTGGATTAGCAATAAATTACCACAAGTTGGGCAAAATAGCATCTTTGATTTGTTTTTTGAGTTTACATTCAACGAGCATTAGTATCAAAATGCCGGCCGGAGCTATGGACAGTTCTATTTATTCGCGCCAAATCAGGAACGAGACTGCCTGTGTAACTCGCAAAAAAATTTTCGCAATATTCCAGAAAACATTATATTATGTTAAAACTAGACAAGTTGTCAACATACCGCAATCGTATCTTCCCAATGAGCAACCTCCTTCGCTTTTTCCCTGAGCAAACGCCCTTTCCCTACGTTAAACAAACGTATGCTCACTAATAACAATGTTGAATACTTGGAGAATATTAAACGGTGCGTAAATCCTTTCAAGGTCGGTATGCTCATGGTGGAAAAAGAGCGTTGGGACAAGAAGTTGGAATGTTTGGCAAAGGAAAAAGAACTGGCTGCGAAACGTTTAGCAAAGAAAAAAGGACTGGCCGAAAGGAAAAAGGACTGGCTGCAAAGAAAAAAGGACTGGCTGCAAAGGAAAAAGAACATATAAAAGAACGTTTTGAGATGATCAAAGAGCGTATGGTGAAATTGCTTTTTAGTGTTGATCAGTTTCTACTTATCTTGTTTCGGGATTTGTAACTGATCTCTAGAAAAATGGGAAGAGAGGCTAATGCACATTAAGGGAAGCCGAAAACAAAATTGGTGGCGTACCTTAACGAAAATACCGAAACATTAAAATCCTTGCGGGCCTCCTGGCAGCGTCCAGATGAAAAGATTGATAGCAATTTTGTGGTTGGGGAGATGCAATTTCTTTACAAGTGTGGAGTGGCGTAAATCTGAACTCGGCGCGAATGGAGCAAAGTAGCGAAATTCATGTGTAAAAGTCTGAGCCTTTCATAGAATATCATTTATGATTCAGAAGTATTAGAAAGTAAAACGATAGATACACAAGCGAAAGTAAGTAATATCTACAGCAGTCAATATTCAGTTTGCAATGCTAAGTGGAATTTAGAATCACTTTAAAATAAAAATACTTTATATTACTAATTGTTCTGAACATCATAAATCTATTTCATCCGATTTGCATTGAGACACTGAAGCCGTAGAAAAATATGGCAAAAAACAATAAAAAGAGTACGGAAAATGTATGATATTTTTAGTAATATTGGCGAGAAACCAAGATACGCCAAGTCTTCTACATTAATGATTTTGAAGTTTACCATTAATTATCGTTATAGTCTCTGCATCACATAATCACGTTAGTAGAGTTTTCTATGCGACGAAGAAATTGTTCTCACTTCGAATAAGTCGGAATCCTTACACCAGTCCAAGTGCAAGAGCTTAAATGTCCGTGATTTGGTAAACACATTTTGTACTTGTTCGGGGTGAAGGTTAAAGCGGAATAGTTTCATTAATTATCAAATTTATTAGATAAGGTGTTAACTTTCAAAGACTGGACTATACCTAAAATCTCATGCTGAGCATTTTTACTTAGTTGAAAGCTAGTTGTTATAGTAAAATTTTGAGTTATTTGCAATTTTGCAATTGGATTGGTCTATTTACACGTGACTACTCCGCGAAAGTGGCTGTAACATGTGATATGTGGCTGGTGTAAGTTGTGAAACAAGTTTCCCATACTAATTGCATGCAGTCCAGTCTTAATCTCAACTCCCATATTTATCACTATATCAAATCCAAATTGACTTTACCGTTATCGTTATATATACCTCCAACTAAATTTTTATTTACAGTCCCAATTGTAGAATTGTAGTTTAAAATAAATACTTTTCCAAAATAATGCCTCGCAGTCCATCCTCACCACGTCGTTCTGAAAGAAATGACAGAGAAAAATATGAAAGGAGGAGATCTAGGACACCACCTCATGTAAGGGACAGAGAACGAGAACGGGAAAGGGAACGCGAACGGTATAGAGAACGTGATCGTAGAGAAAGACGACGATCACCTGAGAAAAGCTCTCGTTCATTAAGATCTAGATCTCGCTCGCCTGGTGGTAGACGAGGTAAGAAAAATGACCTGGGAAATAATATATAGCATAGCAAGGTATGATTATAAAGTATTAATGTTCATTTTAATTATATTTTACTGCATTTGTTATTTCACGTTTCTCTCGTCCTGCTGTCTAGATCGTGCGTTAAGTCCTCGGAGTAGTGAACGTCGTGGTAAGAACACTTTTTTTTTTATTGATATGCATTCGCTCATTTATTTTTAATTTATAGATCCAAAATATGATCGAGAACGAAAGTCCAAAGCAGATTCACCAAGGTAAAATAATTTTGTGATTACCTAATTTTATCAGAATTTAATTATATCAAAATCTATTAATAGTCGAAAAGAAGAAGTCACAACACCATCTGAAGGTAATTAACAAATAAATTTCTTCACTTTCATATAATCAACTCATTGAATATCTACAAATCTTTGTCTATATACGAATAGGATCTTCAAATAATCTCTTAGGTGATATTGACCCAGACGAAAATCCCGAGCAGGCCTTGATGGCACTAATGGGTATGACAGGATTCTCGTCGACAAAAGTAAATTTTATGTTCTTTTATTAATGTCGTTATTTTTATTCTCTTTAAAATAATTAACTGTATTTTTTTTAAAAAAAAAATGAATAGGGTAAAAAAGTGACAGGCAATGAAACGTCCGCGGTAAATATTAAGAAACAGAGACAGTATCGGCAGTATATGAATCGTCGTGGAGGCTTCAATCGGTGATTTATATATTTATTTATCGTTCTTTGCATTTGGAAGTTAATCAATCGATTTACTTACCATTTTTATATATTTAGGCCGTTGGATAGAGTTCAGTAACAATGTATTCTTTTCTTATAAACACCTGTTTTCCTTTTTTTTTTAAGATGCAATAATCCGAACTTTCTCGGAAAAAGACACTATTTTTTTGAAAGCAAAACATACAAAATATATCTAATTAATTTTATTATTAATTATTAATTCACACGTGATAAATATATTAAATGTAAATTATCATTTTCTAGCAAGATTGTTTGTTCAAAGGTATAATAAACATAATAGTGAAAACCTCAATTATATTACTTGATCAGAATTGAGCAAGTACGTTAATAAATTCCTGTATTATAAAACACCAATCAACAATTACTAAAGATGGAGCCGCGAAAGTTGCAACATTACTTCGTTTGAAATTTTTTTATACCACAATTGTGTGGCAACCTATTGCGGCTCCATCTTTTAAGAGAGAATTGGTTTTGTTGATAATGAGCTTATAGCTGCTCTACATATCGAGATAATTCTAAAGTTTTTTTAACATATTGTAAAAGGAAAGAGAAAAAAGATTAATAATGATACAAACGTTATATATGTATAATATTAAACCGAATTTTTTTGCCACCATCAGCGCGAATAGAAAACGTTATCATGTCTCTTGCAATATAGAGTCAACCTTAGATGTTCTGTTATTTTTTTTATTTAATTCATCATTGGCAAAATTTTCAATAGGTTTCGACATATTTGTCTTTTTTGATGGAAAATTATTTATTTTTCTTACTTTATGGCAGACAAGGTTACATATATTTGAGTTGGTTGTAGCAGACTAAGCGGAAGGTGGAGAAATTTTTCACGTAAAAATTTTTTTAAAGTCATCTGTTTGGATGATGATCATTTATTCAATCGCATTATTATGCAAGATTCTTTTTCGTATTACTTTGTATTATAAATTAAGTTCTATTATTATAATAATTAATTTACCACCCGCTTATATAAATCACCGTAACCCTTTGAGCCTCCACCCTTGAATATCGCTCAATGCTCTCTGTCCAGTAAAAAAGGCCAAAAGACTCAAACCTGTTAACCACGATAAAGTCTGAAATATATTAAGATGTGTCCAATAATTATAGAAAAGAATCTCGATTGCAACCAACGAAACTAAAAAACTGATCGAGGAAATGTTTGGTGCACCGGTCAGGAATGATAGATTTACATCGAGGTATGACCACTGAAAAATAAATAAATAGATTGATTAATTAATTAATTAATTACTTAAATATACCGATTCAATAAATGTAATATTATTATTATTAAAAGAATACTTACAGATATTATTAGACTAATCCACGGAGCAATTGCAATTAGCACAAAACCATATGAAAGCCACATAGGCGGCAAACGCTCAGGGTTACCGAAAATATGAAGAATTTCCGGACGAGGACCGTACACTAGAAGTGGAGGTGGTAGAGTCTTCTCTGGCACGTCTATGTGAGCCTTACCAATTTGATATTTGATTGAATTGCTACGTGAAAATGTTCCAATAATTAAGTCTACTTCATAGTCTGCTGGACCCAATAAAAGTTCTGTTGGCGCAGATTTCATGTCCTGCAACAAAATATTATCATTTGTTTGGTGCTATAAAATATTATTGTGTATAGGTCGACACAAACACTCACCAATTCTACACGCGCTTTACCATTATCACGAATTTGCACTATTAATGCTACTTGTGATCCTTTTTCTTTATTCGTAAAGGACAAGAATGCTTGATGTGGTTTAATGGGTTTGTCAGTTTTTGCATCTTTAATTGTTAATATCATTTTCAAATTATCATCTTGATTTAGTTTTAATATCTCAGAGAGCGGTGTTGGATATGCTAAGCTTTTTAAAGGAATCGAGAATAAATATTAATTCAACTTAGGTATATAAATTTAGTTTTATAGATTTAAGTCAACTTCCCAAAATCACATACTTTTGAGATAATTTTCGGACTCCTTCACCGTCTGTAACTGCTATTTTAACATCTTTAATAGCAAAATCTGATTCTTCAGACTTCACAAAGATTCCTAACGACAAAACTAACAGAAAAAACAACCATAATACACGAAAAAAGTTTGATGTATTTTTCATTTCGAGAAACAATAATACTACAAAAGAGCGTATAAAAGTTAGAGCATGAATAAAGAAAGTACCCTAGCCATGGCGAAAAAAATGTTCAGATCACGTGGTAACCAATAAGAATGCGTGAATTTTTTGATCTGCTGGTGACACAAACCAATAAATTTTTGATCAACCCGGCAAAACAAATCCGATACAAGAAAATGAAAAAAAGTAAAAAAATACGGGAAACAAATGCCTAAATCTAGCTTGAAAGACAATTTTATACAGTGGCTCACATATGTAACAAAACACGAAAATTAACTTTCTAGAATTTTTATTTCCATGACTATTAGTTTGGACAAAATAAAAAGATGTTTATTTGAAATTCTGAAATCTCTAATATTTTTTAAAAATAATTTGACAACAAATTATTTTGTGAAATAGAGTGATTTAAATCAAAATTTACAATTAGTAAATTTTTCACATTGAAGAACTTTTTTTTATGATGGATTCAAATTTGAACCACTAATTAAAAATGTTTTACTTTATAAAATCTATTTATTTACCAATTTTTATAAAAATCAGCTTAATTTATATAGATATTTAAGATCTTAAAGTCTGAATCTATACTAGAAGCATTAATACATGAATCAATGCTCCTAGTATAGATTCGATTCTTTAGGATCTCAAATCTCAGTGAATTTGGAATCAATATTTATGAAAATTGGTAAATAAATAGATTTCATAAAGTAAAACATTTTTAATTAGTGATTTAAATTTGAATTCATTATAAAAAAAAGTTTTTCAATGTGAAAAATTTACTAATTGTAAATTTTGATTTAAATCACTCTATTTTACAAAATAATTTGTTGTCAAATTATTTTTAAAAAATATTAGAAATTTTAGAGTTTAGTCATTTTTAGTTTATATAAACTAAAAATAACTTAGATTAGACTATATTAGTCTCAAGTGTGATAATGAGATTATGTATATGTCATCATTCGAGTGATGATTGGTTCATGAATTCATCATCACACTTAGGTATCCATGATCTGTAAAAATATGACGACGAATTTGTATTCACATCATTATACTTAGATACCTCACGATCTATAAAAAATATGCTAACGATGCATTCAGTTGCGTGTCGTCATTTGCGGGCTCAATGTGAGGGCTATGTCCGAACTGGGCACGTAGTGATATATATTTTATGACACATAGATAAGTTATGACATCCTAGCCTAGTTCTTCTGTGTTTTTTATTATAATCCAAATTCGATAACATTACTTGTATGCCAGTTTGATACCTGTGACCGATTCCTGTTGCTGAAACACAGATAAAAAAAAAATAATAGTACACCTTGCGATTTATACATTATTAGTAGCAACAGGATTTTTAACTGTGGATTTGCGAATAGATATAAAATCAAAATCTGACTCAGAATCATATTCTTCATCTAGCTTTTCTATATAAGCTTTGAAATCCTTTTCAATCTTCTGTATTAAGAGTTTATTGATAGCTTGATCTGGCTTAAAGTTGCAGTTTGCCTCCTCAATCTTTTGCGTTATAATTTTATTAATAGTTTGAGTTAACATACTCTTGTGATCTTGCATTGTTGTCATTTTATATACTGCATAGAATATGTAATGAAAAAATTAATCACGCAAAACCTATATCCGTCATGTTATATACATGTTATCAGGTCACATTATTATGAGTTTGATGATCTGATTGTAATTTGTGCATCAGCCAGAGTATATATACGGTATTGGGAAATGATATAGATTATGCTATCGATTAATATTACCAAATATGTATGCTAAGTATATTGTGTAAATGCTATCGATAATGCTATCAGACTATGCTATCAAAAAATGTTATTGAGTACATTATATTAAAGTATACCGATTTTGATTGCCATAATTTTTGATACCAGAAATATGTTCTGAGAATATACATAGTAAAAAGTGGTTAAATATATAGGAAGGCAGGTATATAACTCCTATAATTATTATATAATATTACTGAAGTTATACACCCCGAAACATATATCGAAATGGGTATATAACTTCCATTTTTCTCTCTACATAGTAGAGTTACTAAACTTATATACTCCGAGCACATACTATCAACTGGATATATAACTTCCATAATTCTTATAATATATTACTGAACTTATATACTCAAAGTATTCACTAATCGAGATCGCAATCCTCTTTATTCATCTTACTAAAACTTGATGCTTTTTTTTGATATCTTTGTGTATTGACTGAAAAAATAATTTAAACTTTTCCAAACTATATTATAATAATATAATCGAACAAAGATTGATACATACCAATAAAAAAACCAAATACCAAAAATGAGTAAACAAAGCGCACAAGTGATCCGATATGGGAGCAGGGAAATCGATGACTATTCAAGTGACTCAGATATCTATAGTGATAATATATCCGAAAGTGGATCAGAAAATTGCAGTGACTATAGTTTTGACTATGAGTCAGATACTGAGACTACTATTAAGTCTTCAATATCCCAACTCCCTAAAGTAGAAGAACAAGTGTCTAATACGACATCATTCACAGAGCAAGCGAGTTCCACATATCCTAAACAGCAAGAAAGATTTAATGCTAAATTTACCAAAAAAGATGTAATGAATAAAATCCGTAAAATCATTTCTTCACCTGTCAGAGATATGTCGAATAATAAAAGATCATTGGAAGATATACATCTATGGGATTATCTCTTACCTAATGACAGAGCAAAAGAAGGAATTAGTCTGCTCGATGCTGTCACGATCGTATGTTTCGGGCTCTTCTTGGTGTTATTATCAATCGTGACTTCAACCAATCATCTGTTTGTGTTTAATTATCAATTTCGTTTGTTTACTATTAAAATCCAGTTGCGCAATAAATGCGTCTTCTTCTATCATCAAGATAGGATATCACTACTACTAATAAATATCTTCCTTTGTATTTACTTAGTGTGTGGACGGTCCTATAGCAATACAGTACTGATATTCTATAGCAACCTGGTTGAATGTCCAGTAGTGCGCAATAAATGCAATGATGTAATTACATGTAATTAATTAAATTGTTTATAAGATAAGATTTAATAAAGGCAGTCAAGTAATAGATTTTTAAAGGTATTTTATTTAAGTCATTTGTTGGGCTAATTGCTA